AGTCCTACACTCTTAGCCTCATAACCCTCCAGAGTCTTTCGAACATACGTGTCATGACTGCAACATTGGTCGTGAGTTTTGACGATAACTTGAATTGGTGCAGAACAACAGCGATCGCAGCAAGCTCAGCCGTGGCCATCAACTCGTGAGCAAACTGGATCAAACGCGAAGTATCGGGTCTCAAAGGTTCAGGTATCTATCGCGTACGAACAAGTGACTCCCTGAACGCGAGAAGCTCCACTACCTCATGGCTGTCATGCAAGGTCTCCTTGTCAACGCCATGGCAGCATAACTCGGCTAGTTCCAAGAGGAGTAGTCTGACGGATGAGCTTACTATAAGAAGAGCTCACTCTCACATATCGTCGAACTCACCGGCCCGCCAGTTGATGCATGAGTGCTTCCGACTGCAGACTAGCTTCCACAATACTCTGCGCGTTGTCACCGAGTTTCAAGAGGCCATTACGAAACATTTTCTTTGACGCGGACAGATCTACCACGCCGACATCAATCATCTGACGAACGCCTTGACCACGGCAAGATACGATCATCAACGTATTACCCGCATGAAATGTTCAAATTCAAGTTGTCTCCTCTCCTTCATCGAAACCTGTATAGCAGCGCGATTCAGCGAGTGCGCTCCAAAGCGTCGTGATACCTGTGTAGTCCTGTAACTCTGCAGCTCAGCCTCTAAAACGTCACACTGCTCGAATAGGAAAGACAAAGAGTCAACTATCTCCTCGTGGAACGCCTTCATAGCATCCTGAATATAGACTAACTCGCAAGATACTAGTGCGACAACTTGTACTTCGGCAGAACCGTATTCGGTGAGGGATGGCTTCTTCATTATATCTTCCTCGAACCATTGAACAGTTTTCTTGTGTGATGCCGGTGACTCCAGACGATACAACATGTCTACCACGACTCTGAGCACCTGCGGAGACGATACTATAACGAGCAACGTATCGCCCCTAACCCAGTGGTCGTTGATGCTTTAGGTATAATACTGAACCGTTTCTAATCATGCCACGATCATACAGAATTGCCATGATGTTTCGGAATGAGCAGAGCGAGTGTCTCAGAACGCAATCTACTTTTTACCTGCACGAATGTCTCCCGATCAAACGCCTGATGTTCAATCTGCTGCTTGAGAAGCTCCAGGTCCAGACGAGAGGCGAACTCAGTCTGCCTGGCCTGAAATACTAGGCACTGATGAATACCACTGAGAATACCAGATCCGATCGGACCTGGGGCAAGAAACTGCACATTCTCGACCGTAGCTCCGACAACCTGGCGAAAACGAAGGAGTAATCTGGGGGCCGCTTCTGCAGGTCTTCCCTATGCAAATCCCAAAATGCCCTACAATGAGAAAAAATGCATGAGAACAATACCTCACGACCTCATAACCTCTTGAAGGTTCTGGCGAGTCTATCTGCCATCTCCTTCTCCTTATCGTCAGTGAAGGCCTGATTCATATACCCCGAGACACCGGACCATGTCAGCTCCGGGCATGTTCGAACTGATCGGGCGTTGAGCAATACGCGAACGCAAGGCTCGCGAAGACTCACGAGTGTGGTAGAACAGCCATTCACTGGTGACGAATGACAGGGCATTGGATAGTTGTTTGACGTTGCGAAGCCCAGACTCTCCCATTCGGACATGTACCTCACGAAAAGGCAACGTTATATGAAGTCGTGCCTATCGTTGAGGTACCTCAGCGATCAATGCACGTAGACGATCGACCATATCAGCTGGTGGGTACTGACCATGGGCTGCGATATTGCGTAATAAGCTGACATCAGCCCCATAGCAGTTCACCGTGAGTCCACCTTTCTCCTACCTGTCCACCTCGTCGACCAGCTTCTGCTTACTCCGTTTCAAAGATCGTGACTCGTCCAGAAGGCTTCCACCCTGACGTATGCTGCACAACAATAATTCACCGATCAACACTTCGAGCTAGTAGTACTTAGTCGCAGCTCCAGTAACCTGTCCATTCCCACTCTCACTGGATGAATTATCAAACTCGGTCTTCAATTTCGAGCCGCTCGAAGTTGTAGGTGCACGCTCTGACCTAGGGCCGAGAGAAGCCTGTTCGGTTCGTGCGGTGAAAACAAGCACTACTCTGTCAGTTTGAGCTCATCTGGTGCTTCGAAAATTTTACTTGCGGAAGAGGTGCCTCAGCTTCATCCGGGGAATCACTTTCTGTCGTCGATGGGCCTTTAGGTGGACCCGCAGGAGTGTTCGCTGCTGCCTGGTCGCCGTCGTTCTGGTTGGTGCCGCAATCACTTTCATTTTCGAA